ATCGATTTTCAATAATATAATCATCTTTGCTTTTTTTTTAGTTTTTAGAAAAATAATAGATTTTCAGATATTTATTAAATAAAAAGAATACAAATTCTTTAATACTATTTTAATAGATTTTTAGTAAATAAATAATAGTTTGATTAGAATCTAGGAACATATTAGTAATATCTAATATATTTCATTTAATTTCTTTTATAAAAACATTTTGTAATTATTTTAATATAGATTATTGAGATAAATCTAATAATAGATCTATTAATAGATTATCTATATTATCAAATCAATTGAATATTTTCTATTGAAAAACCTTAGCTTTCTTTAATTTATCTTTTATAAATCTATTATTTATAATAAATAATAAAACCTTAAGATTAAATCTTAATTTATATTATCTAATTATTTTATATAAATCTTTATTGTTTTTGATTCTATTAATAATCTTTTATTAATATACCTTCTTAAATCAATATATTATAATTAGTAATATATATTTAGTATTTTTGATATTACTAAAATCTATTCAATATTTCCGTTTATATATAATATAAACTATTTTATATTTATTAATTCATTAAAAAACAATATTATCTCTACTGTTTTATAGTTTTTCTATAGTTTTTATAGATTTTTCTAGGATATAGAAGAGTTTGTTTATAAATATATTTATATTTTTTTTAATATCAAAATACAAATCTGAAAATATAAGGATTATATTTTATATAAATTCTATAAATAATAGAATTTCTGCCTTGTTTATTATGATTTTATCTGATTTAATAGATTTTATATCTTTATTTAATATTATTATAATTTAGGTTTTGTAATCTAATTTATAATAGAATTCTAGGTATATTATTGTTTCTGCAAATACTATATTTAAGAAGGTTAGATCGATGGTATGGTTAGCGATGTAAATAGGAACCCCTGGTTTGCTTATATAGTTCATTCCTTTGTTGGCAGCCCACTTTTGTAGGGTCCTATATCGATGGGGATATGTCGTTGATGGAGATGCTGTTGGAGAGGTTGTTGGAAGAGGAAGTCTCGATGCTGTTTGCGTCGGGTGAAGAAGATGACTATAAAGACGGTGGACATGCCGAGGAGAGATCCGATGATGGGACCGATTATCCAGCTTTTATTTAGGGGGGAGGCAGAGGTAGTGGAGATAAGAGGGATGGTAGAGTTAGATACCCCTGTACTGCTGCTGCTGGTCTCGGGGGTTATGGTTGGAGTGGGAGTTGATGGGCGTGAGGATGCTTTCATGGCGGATATTGATGCTATTTTAAGGATTAGTTTCATACCTTTTAGTAAAACTATACGAAGCGAAAGGTAGGAAATCAATATACCTGCAGATAACGCACTAAAATAAGCACTGGCCCAAGTAGCAGTACTCAAGATCGTCGACCAATCCTCCGAATCACTCTGCAAACTGCTTGTCCAACTACTTGGTGTCACGGAACTAATCGATCCCGTCGTAGTCGACAAAACTTTCTTCCTTGCCGTCGCTTCAGTAGCTATCGAAGTCTTCGTTCCAACTATCCATGAATGTAAAGCTGTTAGATTCGATACTTGTATTGAATACTGTTGTACCTCCGTTCCTCCAGGCATATTAAGACATTTATTCAATTGTGAAGAAATGAGTGGTGTTATTTCTTTCTCATCGGTGTCGACATCTGGATGTTCGATTGAGTATGTGAGCACGCAAGTTTGACAAGCTCCACAGCTGATAATGAATGTTGGGTTTTCAGCACAGGAAGTGGTAATGTTGAATGTTAATGCCTCAATTTTGCACGTCGCTTTAATGCATATTAGCTTTCATTACTGAGAAGTGATCTGGATCTTTACACAATCAATGAGGTGATAGTATATAAGACATATGACAGTCAGGAGAACAATATGTAGATGGCAGCACTGCCATTGATTGTCTTGCCACCAGAGCCGCGGCGATGATTCGAGGAAGATGCATTTTCTCTACTCTCCCGCAACCAAACACATGCACTAAATCAGAAGACCGAAGACTAAAACCAAAACGTTAAGGTTACACGCCTAATTTCTTACGATACATTCTATCTCGAAGACGCATCTTAATAGCTGGTTAAGGCTGAAAAACTGGTTCACTCATAAAGTCGTAGAAAATAGGTAACGAGTGCGAACGAAAGAAAGGTTTGTGGAATTGAGATCAAGATGGAAGAACTACCACCAGCCTCATTTTTAAGAAAAAAGATACATCAGACAAGTGTACTTACTTTACACATTATTGAATCAGACGAAATGTGTATTATGCGTTTCTCTTTCGACAAGCAAGCATGGGGATAGCCATCCAGTCTTTGAATATGTATGTACTGGGGATTTCGAGGTGTATGTATTAGAAGTTTTCCGAAACTCGCAAAAAATGCTCAGAAGAGTGACGGGGATTAAAGCGTGACAATCTAAACATGGGGATGCATTAAGAAGGCCTAGATACGGTTAGTTACTATTACCTCTCTTGGTCTGAAATCTTTTGAAAGACAGTAAAATAATGTCCAAGTAATTTCCGGGGGTCAATTACCACTTCGCCGGTCCACAGGAGAAAAAGGTTCATACCTCGTAGAAACATCATCAAAACGAGGTTCCCGATCAATTGAGCAGTGCTGATTGAACCGCCACAAACTCCCTGTCCATAATCCATCAAAAGGGCATGAACGACACCGGGGTATATCAAACAAGCATAATGCGCCTCCAGGTCCTGTCCCACCACTACCCCCAACCCAAAACTAGCGTATAGAGGCTTGAATGAACAACATCTTTCAGCTTTCCTTCTCTACGCCACGGGGTCGACTTGGCATTCAAAAATGGTACTTCGGGGATGAATAAATGTGTTTGAAGAAGAAGAAGAAGAAGAAGAAGAGGAGGAGAAAAGCTAGATCTAAAATGATGTTGTATGCGGTCCAATTATACACTTCGTAGGATAAAATGTGACGGGGTATTGCGAGGATAATTCTTTTGAGAAAGTTGGAACTAGAACAAGAACTACAGCTAGAGCTTCGGAAAAATTTCTTGGGAGAAGAATCATCAACGCGTTGTATCAGATATCAGTCCAATCGTTCACCTCTCCCACTATTCACCACGTTTCGAAGCATATCAATTAATGGGGAATACTTGACTTGTTTGAGACTGTGTGACGTTAACATTGGACATTTTTATATGATTCCATGTTAGATCTTCCCCGTTAATCTTTAACCTAATCATCCCATCTATCCCGGCACAGCACTCACTTCTCGGCATTTACGATACAGTATCTCCCTCCTCATCTCCTAATATGGACACAGTCATCCCAATCACCTCAATCCCATAACGCCATATGACATTGAGACCTTCCCAATACTCATACTCAAATAAAAGAATAGACCCGGATTCCTGCAATATTGTATTGAAGATTGCCATCTAAGCTATACTACCCCATATTGTCACAAAAGACGATGTTACACCAAAGCACAGGCTACAGCATTCTGTCCATGCTGATTCGCCAGGTTTGTTATCATCTCAACTCATTATTTTGAGCAAGTCCATTTTGAGCGAAGAGGACGGTTTGATCCCACTCGAGTTTCTATGCAGTAGATGATGTCAATAACATAACATAACATTACAACTAACTTGAACTAAGTCATCAACCTCTCTTGTTATATGAGGTCATTTGATGCGAAGAGCTTCGAATCAGACGAGGAAAGAAATCAGAAGTCTAGGCCTAGTATTATATTACACAGGGGTAGGGTACATCGATCTGTTGTTTAACTCCTAAAAATTTCCCGGTATAAGTGGGTCGCAGCCTTTTTAAGCCCTTCGCATATTAATCTTCTTTTTTTTCCTTTTTGGAATTTCGGCATACGAGTTAGTATATTCGATTCTTATTTTCCGGTAAATCTCTTAATTTATGTATTCATGAGGCGATGACGCCATCAGATAATACTTCAGCTGAAAGTGTATATCTACTAATATCGATATTTGAGGATATAGTTGTACAAAACTATAGCGAGTACACAAACTCATGATTTTCCTTATCCGTCAGATCGAGAAACTCCTGCTTATCCAGCTTTCTATAACCTGGTGCTGCTCTGATAGCTTCATTCTTCTTGTTCATCCTATTATAGTACCAAGAAATGAACGCCACATCAAAGGCACACACTCCATAACAAACAATGATTGTGATTTCCGCCGGCATGTATCGAGGGGCATCTGTTGGTCTAAAAATCTGGGGGCCGATGATATTGCCTACACAGTAGGCCACCAAGTACAAGGCTGCTACTGTTGTTTTCTTAGTGTAGCCTGCGATGTTACTTGAGATCATGGAGAGCAGTGCTGTGAATGGTGTTGGTGAAGCTTGTGTTAGGTAGTAACCTGCTAGACGACCGCTGTTGTTGGATAGGGGGAGAGCTACTATGAGGATCATGCCTAGCATGGCTATTAAGAGACCGGAGATGGAGATTAGGAGTCTATGACCGTATTTGTCTCCAAGATAACCACAAAGAAGGAGCGCAACAACTTCGACGGCACCGCCGGGGGTTCCATAAAGTAGTGATTCATCAGGGGTGTAACCGAATGACACTATTAGTTGGGAAAAGAAGTTCGAGATACCGCCTATCAATTATCTGTTAGCTGATCGTAACCGAATATGTCGTCGAGATCTTTCTCACCGTTAGGGATATCTGCAACTAATGCATAAAAGACGAAGGCCCAAGTTACCGGATCGGCCAGAGCTTCTTTCAACTGGTACATTTTGAGATGTTTATTGCCCACTCCTTGTTGATTCTTCCTGATACGTTCAAGTGCCATAATTCTCTCTTGCGGATTTAGGAATTTGGCATTCAATTGATTGTCTGGCATGAAATAGAGGAATATGCATCCGACAGCCACTGTTATCAGACCAATAGTCAAGAATACGATCTGCCACGATTCAATGCCTGCTCCATGTTTCTTGACACCAACCGAGATGCCGTACGCAACGAGACCACCAAAGATTTGAGCAAAGCCATTGAAACTAAACCATATTCCAGTTCTAAAGCCTTGCTCTTCTTTCGTATACCATTGGGATGTAAAAAGGGTAAATCCAGGAGTGACTGCGGCCTCGAATAATCCAAGGAAGAAGCGCACTGCCACGGCACCTGCAAAATTGCTTGTCGCTGCCATGCAACACAATGTAGCACCCCAAGCGATAATATTGAACGAAGACCATTTGGCAAGTGGCAGTCTTTGTAAAAGAAGATTGGTCGGATACTCCCAGATCAGATAACCAATGTAGAACATCGATCTGTAAAAATATATCAGCAGAGATCTATCTCGAGGCGTGACTCATTCTTACCCTAGCCATTGATAATTGTCACCCTTAAGATTGAGTGAGTTTTTCATGCCCATGATACTAGCATAGGAAAGTGTTGTTTTATCGAGATAGTTGAGCCCATACACGACACAAAGCATCTGTGAAAACAGTGAGTAAAACCAGCAAAACATTAAAGCAGTAACATACGGGCATTAAATTCCAATCAATCTTTCTCAATAATTTCTTCTCCATCTCTGGGGTCATGACAATGACTTCACCTTCGTGATCAGCAAACGCCTTTAGTGCCTCATCGCCATCGTTAGGATCGGCATGCTTGAACATAGCAGCTTGCAATTCCCCTTCATGTATTGTGATATTTCGTTCCAGGTCTTTTGACTTCTTTTTGATATTATCAGCGTCCGTGGATTGATGCTTTTCATCGATTAGATCCGCCATATTGCAAGTGATCACACTTTGATTGTTCCCAAAACCAGATATCAATGATGGTGAGTGACCGAAAGAAGTATGTTTGTGAGAAGTACAGATGTAGATATTATACAGGTAGAGAATCTAAGCTATGCTACAGTGCGTATAAGTAAACAGGGAAGTACGCTAGTAGTGAATGTAAGCGGGATAGCTGTATCTACTCCCGTATATAAACCGTAAGTACCGAAGTACTTATGGCATTCTAACAATGTTATATGATTCGAAAGTACGAGTTCGTGATATAGGTAGTCCGTGATGCGGATGGATGTAGAAGATACCCCCATGATTGTTATCAATGAAGAAATGCAGATAGCACAAACATCTCAACCTATGACACTGTAGTACAAATACTGGACTACAGTATGGTAATTACCCACGTGCATACTTCGTACAGTTTGTGCTATCTAACAATTATCGTCGCCCCGCAAAGCTGGCAATCAATACGCGCGTTATCACCCACTCTCCCACCCTCACTCCCCCTCATGTGTGGAGATAGCTAATCTTATCATCTTGTTGTTGTGTGTAATCATTTCTTATCAGGATCACCCTTTGCCCACTCCACTTGAGAGGGGGTAATAAGTATGAAATGAGGGGAAAACATCAATCTTTACAATGATTGGAGATGACTGGAAAAAATGATATTACTTGAAGTCTTGAATTGAAAATGATTGTGTGTAAAAAGCCGAAAAAGGAAGGTTGTAGACGATTACGATATTAGGTAATCTATGCACTAAAGCTTACTAATGTGCTAATCCTACAGACAAACATCAATCAACAATACCGAAACTGCCTACGAAAAATAGCCGTCTTCTGATAAAAGTAAATGGGGCTTTCTCTTTATCAAATAATTCAGCATCATGTCGCCATTCATGCTTGTTTCCATCCATTCATCATTTGCAAGAGAATGAATGTTTGCTATCAATCTGACTATTTCGTGAGTGAAAAACACTACCATGGATCCTGACTATAAAGTACGACGAGATAGCCCATGAGGTTCGGAATCTCATAGGAACTTTCGAGGAGTATCATGATGGCTTCAAGCACAGGCTCAGAAACGGACACTATTTTCCACATCGTATTCCACTACTACGACGACACTCGGCTCAGGTTATACTACATGAGTCCTTATCGTACCCGTGAAGCCTTTGTCGAGCCTCTCCGAAACATTTTGCACTATCAGACTGTAGATGGAGTGACGCAGTTCGATCAAATCAGGCATCTTGACTTCGAGCAGTTGACTGCACCGATGAAAGACAATCATCATCTTCCATTCAAAGTTGTTTTAGTAAAGGAGAAGAATGCCGCGGCATGGCGACTTTTCCAGGTCCTGCTTGGGTCTTGATACTCGAGAAGGTTACAGATCATAGAATCGATGAGTTGTTCATCTGCGGGACGTACACCTCTGTTGAGTCTGTTAATCGAGCGACACGGTCACTTCTTGCAGAAAAGCTACCACCAGGTGTACAGCCAGAGGAAAAGACCAGAGACGACGGTATTCTTGAGTTTAAGATTAGAGACATCTCGAATGGAATCAAATGGAAAGCTCGGCCTACGTACGGCAAATATATGTATGATTATCTTGTATGATGTCCGAGATGAAATTGTGGCAATGAGCAGAGAGAACGCCTAAGGCGAGGGCACTCTTCTATGTATGTATGAAATGCGGATGGTAGATGCGAAGGATAACACTGTCAACGCATTTCTCATGACTTTGTCAGTCGTCGCTTGTGGACGCATGCGAGATTGTTCTATGCACAACTGGCGCTTTAGTAGGGCGAACTTACAGGCCCACTAGTACAATAAGAAAATGATAGGCGCGTCGACGTACTTCTATGTGAGAGGATATAGAAAAGGTGAAGGTTACCTATATGCGATGATTTGGCATTGCATCGAAACTATGCTTGCAAGGAGAAAACTTTGAGGCCAAGGAAGAACACCGAATTTGACATCACCATGAGGATGTGTTGTTTTAAACAGTGCTGACCTGATTAGATTATGCTACGTATATCCCTTCATACATGCTACAGCGTCAGCAGCCAATTGATCCTATCAAGTTAACATGTCAAAATACAATTACACGGTAGCGATAGTGGGCTTTCTAATGGAAATCTGCATGGAGGGTTCCAGTGTCACGATCAGGCTCTGGAAGCTTTGGTATAGAATTTACATCCCATCAACGTCGATGCAGGTAAGCTTCAATTGGGGAGTCATAGCAATCTAAGACCATTCCCCGAAACTTATCATCTGCATTGCACTAATCGTCAAAGCTTCCAGTTCCCCCTTCCCATCAGCCATGTTTTTGGAACAACGCGTAGTCCACATCTCAGCTCCCTATTTCTCTTCAGTTCAACATCTTCACCCTTAGGCTTTCTCAGAGAGCCGCAAGATTCCCCTCTACACAGTCAGCTACAAGTCAACTCACATACAAAACATGCGGAAAGCTAACCGGTGTGACGGTATTACCCGCCACACGGCGAGGATCGAAGTTCAGGCAGGCTTGGTTCTGGAGATGTTGTCAGTCTGTGACAGTGAAGTAGGTGAACAGCCGGATGTTCCTCACCAACGTATTGACAATGTGAAACCTCTAGGTTTTTTCCTCTTGAACTAGCAGAAGCAATAACAATAGCATTGAAACTTACATTTTACCAAGCTTTGCACGAGATACCACACAAACAAGAGATTTAGAACAAGCTTCAATATATGCACCAGAGTTCTTGGAAAGATTGAAGAGCGGATACATAGTTCGTGCACGAGCTAGTACTACTCTAGTGAGGACATCTTATGTGGATCTGTTATTAAAGTCAGCCCTACTCGGCTCCAGCCAGATTATCATAACTAAACGAGTAGAGCTTTTTATTGTTGTTAAGCTTCCTTATGTTCTTACCAAGTGTGTGCACAATGTACACTGAGAACCCAGCTCATTTCTTTCCGCTTTGCCTAATAATTGCTTTTCTTGTTTTGATTTGGTCCGCCAAATACTTCCGTAGTCCGGATATAGAAACGAAATCCTATTAGACAGCTTTCACTATCTTCACTGGTGGATTTTTGCTCTAAAATCCGCTATTATCATATGGTCTAGTGCATTCACATGGACTAGCCCTAGCCAAATCTCATGTCGCTCGTTAGATAGTCATTCATACCCGTGACCTTGCCGGGTCCATCCCTTATAGTAGGCACTTTGATTTTATCCCTTGATCGTCCATTATCATTATCATATTTCACTGGCTTAATCTTAAAGTTAAATTGAAGAAAGGAATATTGATCGTAACGCCGAGTATGTATTTCTGTCAATTATTACGGTCCAAAAGGGTCCGACTCATGTCTACCGGATAACTAGCATGCTTTTTATCTCCCTGGGAACTTTTTATATATTGTGTAGGTGGCTCATGTTAAAAAATCACTTATTGTACAGTAGTGATTTTCAACGGAGTTTCCTAAGGTACCTTTGGACTCTTCAATCAAGAGATGAGTCGTCTTGACATTATTAGACGTTATTAAGAAACATTGGACTAATAAATTCGAATAGATCCTCACAATGACAGACCCTATATCAGAGAAGGTTGCCGAATCTTCTGCTTCGGCAAACTCTCTCGGTGTTCCACCAAATCAAACTGGTGTCTCCTCGGAAATAACATTTATCTCAGAGATCGATCAAGAGAAATTGGAGGTGGGCCCTGGTAATTTCCGCGATCCTCTCCTCTACTTTCCTCTTCGCCCTCGACAATACCATCGTTGCAGATGTTCAGGCCGATATCGTCCTTATGTTTCGATATTAGTAAGCTTTCCTGGCTCAGTATGGGTTTCCTTATTGATGTAGCTAGTACGACTTTAGTATAGGGAATAATCTTTGGTTAATTTAATGCGAAATGGACGTAACCTTATATCATTGCCATGGTTATTTTTGAATCTAGCTCCGCGTTGTGTGGTGGTGCTCCCAATATGCCAGCTTTGATTGTTGGACGACCACTTTGTGGGTTTGGGGATAGTGGTGCGTATGTAGGTGTTATGACACTGTTGGCAGCTACAACGACGATTCATGAGAGACCGCTTTATATTGGGGGTACTGGGATGACTTGGGGTTTGGGTATGGTAGTTGGTCCGATTATTGGAGGTTAGTTCTCTCAATATTCCCCTAACCCTAAACCTACGGCTTCACCGTGCTCATCGGATTCGGCGTCGATTCATTCGCCCAAGCTTCATTTTCCATTGCTCAAGCAGTTGTTTCTGAAGACATGGTTTCGTCTGCCGTGGGATTTATTACGTGTGCGTGAGTTGGCGGCGTGACGATTGCGCTTGCGATTGCTAATTCTGTTTTTTTGAATGGGAGTCGGGAGAAAATTCAGGCGATTTTGCCGGATTTGCCGGCTGCGGAGATTCAGCAGGCGATTGCGGGGACGGGGAGTATATTTGTGAAGGGTTCGACGGAGGGGGAGCGGGTAAGGGTTATTGAGGCGATTGTGGAAAGTATGAGTAAGACTTATGCGATGGTTGTTGCGGCGGGGGCGGTGGTGATCGTGTTGAGTTTGGGGATGAAGAGGGAGAAGCTTTTTATGAGTGCGGCTATGAGTGGGGCTTAGCATTAGTGATGGGAGTGAGATGGGAATGGGTTGGGGGTTTGGGAGGTT